AAGAATAGCAAGACTCACTGACGATGCCGACTACGATGCAGGCAAAAAGTCTAGGAATATACCACTTCTACGGTCCAACTTTGGAAATTATCATACATACAATGGACTCAGAATTAGGTGCGTTCCTCCAAGTCTTCCTACCAATATAACCAAGTTGCGAAAACAATGTAAATTAACTTTTATACAACAAAAGGTGACTGTGACCACCCAAAAGACCACACCATATCGGTCTTCATATCTTTAATAGCAAACTTAGTTGTTTAGTAAGTTAGATTCATATGAAAATATCATTTAATAACCTAATTATATTTTAATCTAGAATTTGGCGTAAGTCGAATAAGATCTTAATCACTCTAGGCTGCTTAAAATGATTTAAGGACTGGTAGTTTATTTTTCTCACAATCAGATGATTAGGCCACATAAGACCATTAAATTTCACTTGGCCTTGCCTTCAAAGAGGCTATCTCTTATAGAGTGGACTACAATTTCAATCTCGCCTAATCGTCTATCATTGGCACATCAACATGATTCCACGCAAGATTGTGCCTTAAATGTCGCATCTGTCCTATGACCCACTGGCATCAGTGGCTGTGTAGTGGAGTGGTAGCATTGCCATGCTACCCACGACCCGATCTCACTTTCATATTGATGAGACAATGAGGCGATGTCGATGAGATAGCCTTTTGGGTGGTAAGGCTAAGGCAAATCAATGGTAACTCTCAGTTTTCTCATCTCCGTCCCTAATTAGTATTAAGTAATATGAAGTGTATTAACCCTATTTCGCTTAAGATGATAAAGTTCTGCTAATTTAATCTTCCTATAATGATAAGAGTAGGCCTCATGTTTCCAGTGAATTTCTCTAAGCTTTGCTTATCACAAGGTAGACTCATCAAGAGTTCATTGCAGTTTCGACCTCGCCTGGGTCTGATCAGCCTCCCCTCTGGACTCGAAACCGGCTATGAAACGTATAGTCTCACAGGCTAACCAATACATCAGACTATAACGAGTGTGGACCACAGGGCAGACGCGAATTTCAAGGAGGGCCAGGCCTTTCCCATTTTACATTTTTGTAGTGGGATTGACATGGAAGCAAACTGTTTGCTATTTTAATCGACCACATTACTTATATACGCATTGAGTAGGTATCGTAACTACCGGCATATAATGAGTATGAGCTGTGGGAAAATTAAACCTTCGGTCCCTTGTCACACTATGCGACCTAGGGTGAATACAGCCCTTATCATTCCTTACACTAATTTAAATGACTTGTGATGAATAAGCTCTTATTCAAGAATTATGATTGTCTCGAAAACTATTTATAGAGAAAAGATGTAGGATTTTTTCCTTATCTCTTGCTACCTACAATATTAAGTATAAGCTAATCAAATTGATTAGAAACTTAGAAACTCAGTTTTATGGCATTTTAAATTATCCTCAAAAGGAGTAAAAGATGACTGAGAGATTTCATAATATGGACTTTCATATCTGAACTGCTAATGAACATGTTTTCTTAAAGACAAACGAAAGGACAATTAAGATTGAAGGTTATGATACAAATTATATATTATAAGAGGTAGTGTCCAACGAAATCAAAAGCTTATATATACATATACATAATTAAATACTTGTCGAGCCTTTCTTTGGAGTTCAGTAGGCCACCATCCTGACTGGCAAGTGTCGCCGCAGATGGCGCAGAATGGCCTGCCGCGCGCTTTCTTGCAGTGTCGTTTTATCTGGTTTACGCGTCGATGAATTAACCGTTTTTCCGAGATACCTTGGCCACGGCCGCTAGCCTCAAATCTTGGGCAATCAGGTCCTCCATTGGGCATGTCCATCCGATATGCCCTAACGTGTGCGGCTTTGGTTACAGCTACCATTGGAGCTGGGTTTATGGTTGCGCTCATGCCATTTGGTTCTGCAGCTGTCACTATGGCGGTTGTTGCTGCAACATCAGCGGTATCCGCCAGAGCTGCTGTCGTCGTATTTATAATAGCTGTGGGTATATGAGCAGAATTGGAAGCCGCAGTTGCCAAAATAGGCTTTCTGGGGTTCATGATAATCCCTTTTGAAGTTGAGACTCCGATAATTCCTGGGTCAGCAGTACAGGACAATTCCGTTTGTCCGCCATGATTCTCAAACGTAGTTTCGGTGGCCAGCGCAAGAGCCCCCACATTTTCTGTGT